ACATATAGAGTATCTACTCAATGACACACTTACGATACCGCTAGGTCATGCCTGCGGTACGATTTCAAGGGGAGCTTATCTTAAGAGATGCCCTAGGTAACATAGTTGAACTACCATATTATCATTCACCCTTATATGCTAGTCCTACAAATATACTATTTCAATGGTTGTGAATCCAAAACACCCATTGTGGCCTCAAAAAGTGCTTCTGCTTGTACCCCTCGTAAAACATGTTACTAGGGTTTTTGCAATGAAATACCATCATACTCATGTTCAGCGGGTTAAATTACCCCTGGGAACAAGTTTCTAGCCGAATGTGATTTTTCGACCTCACTTGGAAAATGTGGGCTATTCCATGGGTGGTTAGCAACAGACTGAAGCTCACCTGCCATCGATGACTGGTCTCCGAATGGGATTTCCTTCAAGAAAATGATGCAGACGGCATAAATAAGTAAGCCAGGTACTGTTGATTACAAAAAAGACATGACTGAAGAGTTATTTCAGAAGACCAGTCATCACCAATATGCTAGTCGTAATATCGCAGTTGGCTATCAGTCAGCCATGAGTACCCATACCCCATTTTTTCTCGAAGTTGAGTCAGATCCTCAGACTTCGCTATGGTGACGTCCCAGGGGGCTATTTGACCCCCGCTCCCAAACACGAATATGATACCTGTTTCGCGCGAAGAGCGCTGTGAGTCGCGCTACATGTGCCAATGCTTCGGTGCCAGCGCGCCCGTAAGAAGAAAAACAGTAAAGAAAAACCTTTACAACTGCGCTCAGAGTATCGTTAGGCAAATTTTGAATATATTGAGTTCACCGTCTCAAGACGGGTACAACGATGTGCATCTCATTGCAAATGACCAGGCTGACCTGTTGACCTTTCCTGGTTAGATGTAATTCTGGCCTCCTGTTTTCCCACTCCTTGCCTCTGATCTCTAGCTCGCGCAACAGCGTCTCACTTCTTGGAATTCACGTCCAATTGCGGGAACGTACTGATTTTCCATAAGTGTCCAGGTTCGACCCTCGATGAATCTTGGCATACTTTGTAGTTCACTCTACGTATTGCTGTAGCCTTGACCAAGATGATACAACAGTTTTATTGGCTAACGTTTCGGCCTTATCGCCTTCGTCAGAGCCTGGAAAAAAGTCAAAAATCAAAGTGAAACTACCTCGGACATCATTTCAAACCTCAGATAAGCTAGTCCCAGACCAGGAGGATCCAGAAACCTATCATAGATCACAACCACAAAACGACTCACCTTGAATGTACGGCCGGTTTTTGCTTGAGACCACCGCTAAACTGACTCCCCGTGGGTGGCTTCAGCTGACCTGGCCCCTCGACTCGAGGCCGATGGCAATTGAAGCCCACACAGGTCAGCAAACGGGGCGAGCTCGTTTGTGATGGCCAGGCATTCGTCCTTTCTGTTCATTTCGGGATTTTCTAGCGCTTATCTCAAAACGCTTCCAAAGTCTTGCGCGCCGACGTCTGTGGTTCTCGCATCAAAATCCTAACGGTCATCAAACTCCACGCCTCCATGGCACTGAACCCGATGACTACGCCAGGGGGGTCTCTGGCCTAGATCGCCTTAGACCATCTAGGTGCTCTTTACCTGGAGCACAGGGTCGTCCAGTCCTCCCCGATGTACTCATCCCACAACTCATGCATGACATCAGGTAGATTACACCTGAGGCATGCAGTCCCCTCCCGCCCAGAAGACATGTGACACAATGTGGGGTTGGGCAGATAGCGATCATTACCGCGTTGCGGATCAGCTGCTGCTTGAGGCTCGCAGGAGGGATCTCGACCAGCCGAACCATATTGTCGAGACCAAACCTGCGCAAAGACGATCTCACAGCACGCTGAACGCATCACTTACGATAGGGTAGCAAATGGTACTTTCTCCCAACCCTCGTCACAGGACTTTGTTGCTCCAGTGGTGTCGCAGGGGTCATTAGCCTTTGGGGGGTAGCCATTGAAGAGGGTTATTTTCCGGGTTAACTCCGGGGAGTTCTCTTTCCTTCTCACCTGATGAGACCATTTTGGCTGTCCTGAACATGTTTCTGTTGCTAGCCCGTTTGGTCCCCAGAGGATGCGCCGACCGGAAATGGACTAAGATGTTCTTGCTGGTGGGTTTTCGGTACCACTTGGTCCGATAGAACCCGCGCTCAAGCTGGATCTGCACGTTGAGGAATGAGAGCCAACTATTAGAAGGCTTCTCCCTCGTAAACCGAATATTCTCAGCTTGGCTATTGAGGAGGTCAAAGCACGAGTCCATTTCCCTCTCCGTGGTGCAGACGATGAGACAATCGTCTATGTAGCGTTTGTACAAAATGGGTCGGCGATCCAGTAACGGTTGTTCTATTTTGGACATGTAGGCAATCGCTAGGACTGGTGCCAGCCACTGACCCATGGCCAAACCTCTGAGCTGCCTGTAGTATTGACCGGCCCACCTAGAAATGGAACAATCGAGACACTCTTTAACAAGTGTCATTATGTGGGCTGGCAGGCCATACATGTTGATCGACGCCCCGTGCTCACTGAGGAGTTCATAGGTGGCCTGCATGGCTCCTTCGTTTGACACGTTTGTGTAGAGGGAAGTTACGTCAAACGATTCCATCGCATGGTTCTCTGAACCTGGCCTCCCGCAACGAGTCGAGCAAATGGGCAGTATTACTGAGGTGGGCAGGGATGAAGTGCAGCAGCTGCACCAGTACAAGGTTCAACAGCCATGAAATCCTGTCAGTGGGACCTCCTACCCCACTTATTATCGGACGTGGAAATCTGAGGGATTAGTTAAGGACAGAGTGGTCTGCGAGAGCTTATGTGTTTTGATGAGAACATAGAGAGCTGGACAGGTTGGTAGATCACATTTCAGTCGTGTGCCCACTGTCCTCGTGAGCTCTGCAGCTCTCACTATGTCAATCCACACCCTGTTTAATTTCCGGTATTGCCTCTTGAACTCCTCCTCGGATGATGGACGGTAGAGACTTTCATCTTGGAGGTGTGATTTTGTTATGGCAATGTCAAGATCTCTGGGCAATACGACAAATTCACCTCCCTTATCGCTGACAGATATTTTTATGCGACCAGAGATAGTGAGATCCCTCAATTCTTTCAGTCCTTGTATTTGCGCCGTTGTGAGGTTGGAGGGCAACCGTTTTGGGCTTCCGCGAGTAATTATAGAAAAAACTGAAGTCGCGAACAGCCGGAATTTCACATCCACTGAAGGATTGGGGTCCTGAGGTTTGAAGAAAAGAGAAGGGAAAGGAATTGTAGGGAGACCCGACCGAGTAGCAGATTGTTGACCCTGTTCTCGCCATTTGACTTTGAGGCGTAGGCTGTCCTGAAGAGTTTGTAGGGCCCCTAGGATTTTTCGCGATATCGTGTAACTTATTGATTGCGTCGGTGCAAAACTAGGACCGAGGTCTAGAACGGAAAGCGCGTTGTCGGAAAGACTTACGCCGCCAATCACAGTGACTCTAGGTGGAACAGATCCCGTTGCATCCCCGTGGTCAGTCTGTGGGTGGTCCAAACAAGCGGAGGTGGTGCGCTGTGGTTGCGATAAATGACATTTCTCTAGATTTACTAGTCTACTGAATTTAACCTGAAGTTTTACTTTGAGCTTCGAACGGATAGAATCACAAATGATCTTTGACTCACCCACGATCTTCCTCCATAGGCAATTTGGCAGAAATCGTTGACAACACAGTTCTTTAGACACACACTTTCACATGTTCAGGACAGCCAAAATGGTCTCATCAGGTGAGAAGGAAAGAGAAGAGTCCCTGGAGCTAGCTCGGAAAATAACCCTCTCCAATGGCTACCCCCCAAAAGGCAAATGCCCCCTGGACCACCCACTAGGAGCCAACAAAGTCCTGTGACCGAGGGTTGGGAGAAAGTACCATTTTGCGTACCCTTCGTAAGTGATGCGTTCAGCGCTGCTGTGAGATCGTCTTTGCGCGGGTGTGGTCTCGACAATATGGTTCGGCTGGTCGAGATCCCTCCTGCGAGCCTCAAGCAGCAGCTGATCCGCAACCGCGGGTATGATCGCTACTGCCCAACCCCACATTGTGTCACATGTCCTTCTGGGCGGGAGGGGGACTGCATGGCCTCAGGTGTAATCTACCTGATGTCATGCATGAGTTGTGGGGATGAGTACATCGGGGAGACTGGACGACCCCTGTGCTCCAGGGTAAAGGAGCACCTAGATGGTCTAAGGCGATCTAGGCCAGAGACCCCCCTGGGTAGTCATCGGGTTCAGTGCCATGGAGGCGTGGAGTTTGAAATGACCGTTAGGATTTTGATGCGAGAACCACAGACGTCGGCGCGCAAGACTTTGGAAGCGTTTTGGATAAGCGCTAGAAATTGCTGGCATCACAAACGAGCTCGCCCCGTTTGTGCCTGTGTTCGGGCTTCAATTGCCATCGGCCTCGAGTCGAGGGGCCAGGTCAGCTGAAGCACCACCGCGGAAGTCAGTCTGTAGCGGTCGGTCTCAAGCAAAACGCGGCCCGTACATTCCAAGGTGTAGTCGTTTTGTGGTTGTGATCTATGATAGGTTTCTGGATCCTCCTGGTCTGAGACTAGCTTATCTGAGGTTGGTAGTTTCACTTTGATTTTTGACTGTTTTCCAGGCTCTGACGAAGGCGATAAGGCCGAAACGTTAGCCAATAAAACTGTTGTATCATCTTGGTCAAGGCTACAGCAATACCTAGAGCGTATTGATTTTGTTTCGTTTACACTATTCCTCGCTAGTAAGTCAACCAGCATCTATAAATTCAAACATGGGCCTGAAACCCGCTAAGTATAAAAGCGGAATGTGTCGTTAGAATTGTTCAGTGTCAGCGTATAAGAGTAGCGTTGATTGCGCTATGAGTATCAGGAGTAAGTAAACAACAGAACCAATTTATTCTTAACCCAACATTTGCGTTGGAAAAAAACGCCGTCACCAAAGTTCTGGAACCGAGAATGGGAATGATGAGGAAATTTGATGATATAAGCTATTTCACCTCGTGAGCGGTGACCTACAGTTGTTGCAACAAAAAAAAAGAAGAATTGAACAAACACAGTACTTTATACCTACCTGATGAGCTCTACATATCAAATCGAGATCATGTCGAGTGAGGAATTTCGCGACAACGTCTGGGCCAAACGTGAATGATACTCCACGATCATTCTCGCCCCATCCCGTGACATCTTTATCAGGATCAGACCAAAGCAAATCACATAACAGACCTGAAATGATTGCTATTGTTCCAATGAACCAAGTAATAATCAGATAGAGTTGTAACATGTTAATGTCTTGGCCCAAGATGAAAATTGTCCACTGAGAAATAAGTCAGAACTGAATGCGTACATACTACTTCCCAGAATGTAGAATTGCTAAAGTTGTTCAAGGGCTGTTCCCAGTTTGTCGTCAGAGTAGAGTTAGAAAATATATGATTATGCATCAAAAGATGCACACTATCGAACACAGCCATCCTTCCCCCCCCCCCCGAGGCACGCCATCGTTGTGATCATCACAACAGAGGGGTCCTATTTGACCTCAAGGAGGGGGGGGGGTCGAAAGCGCGGGGACCATTCTGAAGCGAGGGTGCAGCGGCGATACCCAGATGTCGCTCAGCTTTAACACATTGACGACAGTGTGAATCGCATGCAATGCGCACTTTGTAGGCCGCGTGGGACCGCGTGCATAGTATACGATTCACGATCAACAAATCCATATCTTTCACCAGTGCATGGTTTTTTGTTTACTTTCCCATATTCACACTATAGTTCAACCCTCAGTGTACTCGCATAACTCGTGGTCCATGAAATAGTTTAGAACTCACTAGTTTAGCAAAGACTTCCTGGGATAGTATACCCTTCGCTTCGATTGATCTGTCTTCAATCATTTACTCACAAAAATGAACAAATACAGCAAATACAACCATATGAAAAATGTAATGAGGGTTCACTTCCTTATAGAAGGCACGACCTGTGTTTCTTGTGGAAACATTGAACCCAAAAAATCTTTGGCAGCGAGTGGTGGCCTGCCTAGTTTTCTTCGTAGCTATTGCACGTCTCTGCTCTTTCGAAATTGTGGGGTAGCATCCGGAATATCGCCTTCTCACATAGTTCTTGGGACATCGTACTTCTTCTAGCTCGTGTCTTGTAGGAAGGGGCTGAGTCGGAACATTCTCATGCATACTGTTCAGCAACGACTCGACCAAGTCCATTTTGAAGTCATTCAGTCGCACTTTCCCTATTACATCCTTGTACAGGGGGACCAAAAGTCACTTCGACCAGGCCACATATCGACAAAGTTTTCGCAGCCCAGACAGAGGACGTGGATGCGAGTACCAGGGCGGAAGATATCCAAGCAGTTCCTCGATGAGCAGGAGTTGGCTCTCGCCCATCACCTTCATGTACACCAGAATATGAAGTCATCTCCGATTGCAACCTCACTAGTGTGGAGTCACCCATGGCTGGCTACCTAGAGACCAGTTTTCTCGATCTGGAATACCTCCAACATCGAGCAGCTCCGACAATGTCGCTACAGTCTAGGACATCATCTTCACCGTAGTCGCCGGGGCGGGAGTTGATGGTATGGACCGGAGTACCTAGAATGGGAAGACCTATATTTTCTTTGTAGACCCGGACTGAAGGTGAGCGCTGGCGGGTACATCGAGCAACTCGAGAAGAATATCCTCCCTACATGTCGTCGCCCGTACCTTCTTGGAAACTTTGTACCGCTACAGGTTCGGGTGCCACCACATGGAATCGAAGGGTGTTGGAAAAACTCTTGCCTACTTAGAAGGTAAGGGCGTTTAGTACCTGAGGAAGATGAAATATTTAAGTATGTCCCCTGACCTTTGCCCTCTCAATTATCGGGTTCAGGAGGAGCTCAACAAGGGGTTCTACAGTGGCCGAGAAAACAACTATCTCGCTGAAGCCACGTACCCAACCACGGTTGCGTGGCAGAATCTCTCGACGGCGCTCCTCCAGAAGGCTGTGACGGAGTAACATGATAGTATTTAACCTGCTCTTTAATATGGTGGTAGAATTGTCCGATCAGGATTTGATAAAGTGTAACTTATAATGTCAAGGAATGTCAAGGAAAAAAAGTGACTTTTTTTTGGCCCCCCCCTGTATAGCTTCCAAGCGTTCACTACTGCTGTTTGCGTGAGCAAATGGAAGAATATTCTCCTGTACCACTTCGATGTTTTGCGTACATCATCATCCGATGTGATTAGTTGTTGGTGAAGTCCAAAGTATCCTCAACGTTTTCAAAGTTATTAGCCATTTTCATGCGCCTGAATAAGCATCTTCTTGAGCGGAGTTCTGGCCTTTTGTGAATCTTTTATGTGCTACTAGTATTTGAGTTAACTTACTTTATACTTGCTTTCCAAATCAGATTTTATCCAACCTGTAAAAAAGGGCGCCTCGTGGGACCGCGTGAATTGTATGAGTCTCGCGCCTGTCGCATTCGAAAAAGTGCGCGTGTCCCACGCGGCCGAAAAGTCAAAACGCACCTTGTCGTCAACGTGTTAATGATGAAAGACTTATTCATGTGAAGAACCTCTGAAGAAACCCACACGAGACAGAAGCAACCTGCCAGCGCGTGGGGAACAAGCGATGACAGGAAATACGGTGGCCTCCCACGACGTCATGAATTAATAAAAAAATGTGAGGGATAAAGTCTCCGCCATTGATCAATCTCTCTGTGGGATGCGGCACTTTCTACTTCCATTCAAAATCGCAGTGGCTTACTGAATGCGATTAGGCCTATACAATGACCTGCGGTGGCCCGCCGGTGTACAAGTCAGTGTTTTATCCTCGCAGACGAATCTGGTACCATCGTATCGTTCCCACGGGGTAGAAGGCTTAGTTAGCCTGGGCGAGAGTCGACTCGGGATTTGAACCCGGCATCGCGCGAGTGGTAAGCGCGCACCTGTCACTACACCACCTCCGCGCCAATGAATATCCGTCATCACCACATATATATAATTCGCTTTGTCTGCTTGTTTGTTTGTTGTGTAAGTTTTAAGTTGTCTGCTCGGAAATTCGGTTCGACCTGAAGACGACTTGGAGAGGTCCAGTCAAGGTGGGGATAGGCAGGGCATGGGACAAGAAATAAAAAGCCACACTTGACCTATGGCAAGCCCCGCCCACAGCGGGCGGGGCACTCGCCGAAAGTTTGGGGTTCCGCAGAAAAATGTTCATAATTCGCTTCCGGAGCAGCTTAAAGATGGGGAAAAAGGGATTAAGGTTAGTAAGGAGTCGCCAGACTAACTGTGGTAGGTACACCCTAAATGGACGGGGCGTACTCAAGGTGGGCGGTGCTTCTCGCAAAATTCAGTAAGCCGGTTCGCGAGAGTGTTTGGAAGTCGTAAAAAACTCAGTGTAGACTGTAAATATCCGGCGAATATAGGACACGCTCAAAGTGTGTTGAGACCCGCCCAGAGTGGGCGGAGCCTGCCCTAATTGCAGGGTATTTATTTTAAAAGTTTGCAGCTCGGTTCCAGAACATTCCGGATACCGGAAAAAAGTGGATTAAGTTCAGCAGAGGGTCACCGGTGAGGATTGTGGGGCAAAAACATTGTGGGCGGAGCCTTCGAGGTGGGCGGAGCCAGACAAAAAGGGGCTGTCGGTTCCAGAACGCTCCAGACACCGGAAAAAAGTGGATTAAGTTCAGCAGAGGGTCGTCGGTGAGGAACGTGGGGCACGAAAATTGGGGGCGCAGTCTGCCTCGAGGTGAGCGGAGCCGGACGAAAATTCTCTAAAACTGTCCCAGAGCACTTCAAAGACCGGAAAAAAACGTGGATTAAGGTCAGCAGAGGGTCACCGGTGAGGATTGCGGGGCAAAAACATTGTGGGCGGAGCCTGCTCCGAGGTGGGGGAGCCAGACAAAAGGTCTGTAAAACGGTTCCAGAGCACTCCCAAGACCGGAATAAAGTGAATTTAGGTCAGGAACGGGTCGCCGATTGAGAAATGTGGGGTAGACATATTGTGGGCGGGGCCAGCCCGAGGTGGACGGAGCCGGACAAAAATTCTCTAGAACGGTTCCAGAGCACTCCCAAGACCGGAATAAAGTGAATTTAG